AAGCTAGTTTCATAGAGCAGCAAACCCTCTAGCTCCTAAGGAGGGATTACGAGCCACTGCACCTCCATTCCTGAAAGTCTGGTAAGCCTAGCCCTTTGGACCATCATTTTTCATCGTCTTTACTGCAATTACCTTCTAGATTAGTTCAACCACTCTAACTACTATCCATTTAGAAACTCTCTTTACTCATTTCACCATTTTTTTACCTTTGTATCCAAACGTATATTTAGACTTTTGTGATTGCTAATTACTTTTATCAATGTAGGGTATACAAATCTTGTTCGTCCAATGACATACATCAGTTAGTTACCTCATGTTATTTTGTTCGTCCAATGACATAAACAATCACCTTTTACTTAAATTCTCTTCTCAAAATTTCACATTGGCTTTAAGTTTTTCACTTCTAAAGCAGGCAAAGCTCAAAAATTGATATCTATGTTGATGGTCTCTTCCTAATCAAGAGATTCATCTCATTTTATTCCCTTGCTGAAACACATTTTGACCAATTCGTCATAGAATAGGTATAACATGTCTCTGTTTATTTTAACTATAAAGTTGAAGCAAGTCCAATGTTGAATATCACTACCATTAACCAATTCTATAACGGTCCTTCCATCTAGCTCTCTTACTTCGAATGATCCCATAATTCAAATGCAATATTATGTGACTAGCACCAAACTAGACTTTACAGCAAATTCAAATTCGTTCTGATGTAGTAACTCCATTGCTTATTTTAGAACAACCTTAGAAACTTCTCCAATGTTTTGACCACTTCCATTTCCAATCAAAGAAAGCAAAGTTATGAAAACTTTAACCTTTTCTACTTTTACTAAGTCTCTCACGAAAAAAGTTTATAAACACTTAGTACCCAAGTACCCAAAACTAAGGATTTATCTTTGTATCAAAGGACATGATTGGACAAAACCAATTCATTTCCAGTATTACGATCTAAAGAATAAGGCAAGTAATTCAAATTAATTGCAAGAATTTACTTTGAAAGGTTATATATTAACCAATCATAGATTAAACAATAACTGATTCATTGATGGGAATGGTTACAATGATAGTACATGGTGACAAGTTACAAACAAAACAAAAGTTCTTGTGTCATGAAGGACTATATATAAAATCTCAAACTTGCATCAAAACAACAAAATCCTATTAACAATAATATGCCACGTAGTTACTAAATTACATGTCCTTCCTTTCTTGATGTGACAAAACAACTTCTTCTCTATACACTGCTTCACTAAAAGAGGTCCTTTATAGATACATCATTTTCGTAAATCTAAGGAATCATTGCTTCTTAAATACTGGCTTGTTACTTCCACTTGCATCTTCATTCCTTTGTGATCTAAACTGACAAACATTCATTGAATGTTCTGACTTTCCATGGTGGTTGCAAGTATTCATGTGTCACGACCCCTTTTTATAAGGAACCGAGAACATTGTTTCTACATCACAAACTTATTTGAAATAAAGTATAGAAAATATAATTATGAAATTCTCTTCTCATTCAAAATAAAACAGAGTTTCTTACAACAAATATCCAACAGAACAACATAATATTACATTTCGTTCATAATATTCAAAAATACCCAAAATTATACTACGTAGCTCCCTCTACATGAGGTCTTAAAATATAAGGAAAAACGACTTAGATGCAATATTACTCGACTTCAGCTTCTATCATTTCTCCATTGGCCCCGCAGCCTGTGAAGTAGATGCAACACCTGCTACATCTGCTCACGTACCACCGTACGATCATCGCAGTACACACGCACACAACGACATAAAAAGAAATGCAAGGGTAAGCTTACCAAACTTAAAATAAAATCATATATATAGAGCAAAATACTTCTCACAGCAATAATCCCATGCATTTCCAGCCCATCTAATGCACAGCATGAAAACGGTTTCCAACTGGTTTCACAGCCTAAGTAATCCAGAAGGAACCGAGCCGGTCCGGGAGCGACCCATTCCGGTATCTGGATCCAGACAGCACAGCACAGCAGCTCAGCATGAACTTACCGTTACATGTCTACCCACCTAAACATGTAACTCGGCTCTATAATGATGCAAAACATATATCTCAGCATGATGCACACCGCCAAAATTATTTTAACAGCTCAGCTAAGGCAAGTTTAAGATAGATCAGCCAAAATCTCAGCATTTTAAATCAATTAACAACAGTTACAGCTTAGAAAATAGCTTTTATTCAATAGATCTAACAAAATCATATTAGAATATCTTGAAATAGCATATTAAACCGTTCAAAACGTAGTTCATAGGTTAAAGTAAACTCCCCTTACCTCAGAAAGATGATTCACACTAGATCTACCGAATATTACTTGTTTTAATGCAAGATTCACCGAAGATTCGGCTTTAGAACGAAGTTTCTCCTAAGAACACCATGAACTTCTATGAGAAAGAGAAGGAGAAGAGAAACGAACGGTAAATCTAGCTTCAAACTTAAAGAAACTTACTTCAAATCCTTCAGAATAGACGTAGAATCTCAGATCTGACAAGAAATCTAAGTTTAGGAAGGTTTAGTATGAGAGAAATGGTGGTATTTGGCCTTAGAACCTTTGAGAACCTTGGATAGGGGTGAAGAAATGAAAATTTCGTGTGAAGCCCCCTTTTTATAGAAAATTTTCGAATTTTACTGTTCACCGCCTTACTGTTCATGCCGGAAACACTGTTCACCGCCTTACTGTTAATGCCGAAAACACTGTTCAGGGCACTATTCATGCCGGAAAAATACTGTGCACGCGTACTGTACACGCACTGTACACGTATGTGACGTCAGCAATGACGTCATGATGATGTCACTGATGACGTCAGCAGTCACTGTACATACATGATTTTCACTGTTCATACGCGGTTTGCACTGTTCATACACGGTTTGTACGCGGTTTGCACTGTTCATAGGCGGTTTTACTGTTCATCTGATACTGTTCATACGGTACTGTTCACTTTTTTTTTTTTTTTTAAATAATTTCAAACCCCATCTAAATCTATTCCAGTACCAAATAATCCTTCAATTAACATTGAATAAGTATAAAATATTATAGATTACTCAATAATAAATCTCTAGCCTAACATCATGTACATTTCTTCACCTTATGAAGTCTTCCACACCCAAAACACTTTATTGAATCCAAGGGGTCCTTGTTTCTAGATGCATGTTTCTTGCTTCCATTGGTGCTTTCATTTTTCTGAGATGCTGAATGACAAACATTGGCCGAGCACCCCTTGTTTCCACATTGGTTACATCTCAAGAGTGACATAGGGCAATCTCAGACCACATGAGGTCTCTTGCATCAGAAACATCTAACCTTACCACGAGAGTTCTCTTTGTTGTCACAATGAAATCTTTTACTACTATGTCAAGTGGGTGATAATTGATTAAGAATGAAATTGATAGATGTTTTATCTGTGTTTGAATGACATATGGCAATGACTATGGATTTTGTTTGGTAGTTGATATATGTTGGAATTGGTGAATTTATGATAAAATGTTCTATTACTGAAAATTTGATGAATAGAAAGATAATGTATATGGTCTAATGAGAAAGTGAATATTAAGAGAAATCTTGATAAATTGTATGTCATGTGAAATGCTGAGAATATGAAATGCTGAAACACTGTATATATAGTTATAGAGACACACTAGAGGTATAGAGTTCAAAGAAGATTTAGAAAAGCTTGGTGAAATAAAGGTAGTGAATGCTAATTGAAAGTGAGTGCACAGTAAGATATGTGATTGTAATAGATGAGTCATAATGGATTGATTTGCGTAATTATAATACAGGTATTGTAATACATTTGCGGGTGTAATTATAATACATGTATTGTAATGCATTAATTAATATGGTTATAATGCACATATAACGACATACTGATTGGTCTGAAAAAGGCATATGATATGAAATTGATGTATGTTTGAAAGTACTGATGACATGTTGATAATCTGTATTATTTGTTGTAATACTTGGTAATTTGATGTATGAATCAGTATTATCTCAATGTACATTATATGATTTAAAATATGAATAATAATTGTTGTAGCTATGAATTTGTTAGTAGTATAACACTGATACTAATTTACCTTTCCTGCATTATTTAATTGATTTACAATGAAAAGATTTAGTAGGGTGGGAATACTCACCCTTACAAAATATGCGTTATTTTAATTGATTTACAATGAAAAGATTTAGTAGGGCGGGAATACTCACCCTTACAAAATATGTTTTTAAGAAATGTCAATTGAAAAAATTAAGAAATGTTGATATGGAATAGGATCATATCTTCGGCAAAATAATGGAAGAACTGCTTTGTTAAAATTTAGATGGTTGTAATAATATTTTTATTTATTTCTATTTTAAGTTGATTAAATTGTGTGATTATTTAAATGTCAAGTTCAAAAAAAAAATTATGATATTCGATAAATTTTGTTGCAAATATTATTTTGAAGTATTTATAATAAGGTAATCAACTATTTTAAGATAACATCATATATAACATAAATTTATAGGTATATAACATAAATTAGTAGATTGCCCAAAATAAAATTTTTATTTCACTTCATTTATAAATTTGAAAAACTATTTATGCGAAAGATTTAAAATATAACTTTAATCATTTCATTAATTTTTAAATTTATATTTTTTTTAAGAGAAATATTTCTTTTATTTTTCTCATTTCGTTATAAATCACTCACCTATTAAAATAGAAAATTTGGGAACTTACACAGAGGAGGATATTACCTGATTTATTGTTTTACCCCAGAGTTTAGAATCAGAATTCAAAATGACGTTTCAGTTTACATAATTCAATTTGGACCAAAACAAAAATGCACTTCAAATAATGAGACAGAGATTGATCGCCTTACAAATCAATGATGGATAGAGTTTGTTAACAATGTTAACATGCTTGCTGCATGGATACCTCACTCTCCTCAAAGCAAAAACCTTTCACACATTCACCCTTGTCTTAAATTATATTCTTTTATCTCTGATACGAAGATTCATGGCTCTAGAAGCCATGGCCCTCAAATTTGCTCTAGCTAATGATGCGGAAGGTAGCATGTTAGACTGTTCCTGGCTCCCTCTATAAGCTTGCATGAACTCTTCTCTCTGTAACCTAAGAGCCAAAGCAGTATCCTCATTTTGGCTTGTAGAAACCCCTCTTCTTGTCCTCACTCTTACATATGATGATGATGATGATTGGTTTTGGTTCCTTGAATTGGTATGAACCCGATGAGTTGTTCCCTGGCTTTGTCCATCAAGTTCTCTCTGCAACCTTCTAGCCAATGCAGCATCCTCATCTTCCTGTGTTGTTGTTGTTGCTGCCTCACTCCTCCTTGAACTCATGCCTCTGCTTGACGCCCCAGCTGGTTGTGTGCTTCTATTTCTTATGTTATTATAGAATGCTGTTTCTGGACTCAGACACTGAGCTTGTTGTCTACTATTCAAGGCACCAGCTGTTTTCCTTGCTTCAATTTCTCGGGGAAACAGGAGCTGTATTGTGTTCCACAGAACTGTGTTCACAGTGCAAGATCGTCCATTGCTGCAATTTAACATGAAGAATAATAGATAAACAAGCTAGCAATATAGAATATTTGTGCAATAGAAACCATTGATTTAAGAACATATTATCTTATGTATGTAAATAAAACACTTTATAAACAAACACCTTATTAATTGCCTGCATTTTGGACACCTTTTGCCACATTTGTCTGCAGCAGACCGTAGACATTTTCTACAAAAGCTGCAATATTGTAGATTCAGAATCAGAAATCTAGGATCTCATATATTAAAGATTAAATTTGGTACCACCCCCAAGGAAAGTTTCTAACGTAGTTTTCTACACGAGGAAAAATTATAGATTCTGAATCAGAAAGCTAAGTGTTGGAATATTAAAGTTAAATTGGACACCCCAAGATAAATTTCTAGCATAATTTCAGTAGTTCAAATAGGAACTGATCGGGTGTTTGTTGTTGTTGTTTGTTATGTACCTGTGACCACAAGGAGTGGTACTTGGCTCAAAGCATATCTCCAAACAAATCTGCAGAAGTACATCAAATATTACATAACATTCATGTCAACACAAAATATGAAATAAAATTGAAATCATGAAATATTCAGAAGGGTCCTTACTGCACATGAAAGCTCTTCCCTGAGTTTATCAATACAGGGAAGGGCAGAACTAGGAGGAAAGACACCCGGGTTCTTCTCTGTCAATTCATTCCCAACCCCTCCTCCTCCTGTTTTGCTTCCTTCATTCACACCAGCTTTCTTTTCTTTCTTCTTTTTCCCACTATCTGTCCATCAAAAACATCCCATGAGCCAAAAGAAAACACAAAAACGCAAACAAACACAAATTGAGACCTCTTAATATAAATTAATGACCTTTTCTGGGAGTTTCTTCTCCATCAAGATCAAGAACAACAACTGGAATTGTTTGTGGACTCCTCTGAGCTCTGCGCTTCCTAAACACAAAGAACATTATTTATAACAACAACAATAATAATAACCAATCAAGTCACTCTTCATGAGCCAAACTACACTATTGTAAGACAATAACCAATCTTTAATTAAAAAAGGGGGAGGAGTGGGTTGAAATTGAATTGAACAAGGCAGAAGAGTCCTATATTTATTACCTTGTTGAATTGGTGGGTGGGGTTTTGGAGTTCAAAATATAGCGTTTTTTGTGCTTGGAATCTCTATCTGGCGTGTCTTCAACGATAAGGCTAGCCAATATGAGCGCTTCTTCATCCCAACCAGCCATAGCAGCAGCGGATTTGAACCTTGGGCTGAAAACGGTCGCCGTGTTTTGGCCATTTGATTCTGTTAGCGGGTCCTTTGGCTTTCTGGGGCTCCATTTCTGTTCTTCACTCACCGTCATCTTTTGTTTATTTGTTCTCCAATGCTTTAGACTTCGCAAGGGTTAACTGATAAGGGAGGGGAACAATGCTCCCTTTACCCACAATATTTTGAATATTACTCCCAACGGTCGAATTGTTTTGAATATCTCCGCTGTGCTGGCAATTGTAACGGCTATATTTTTAAGGACAATAATGCACGTCATCTTTCCATTTTGTCAGCGGAGACGGGAGATTGCTGTAAACTATTTAGAATGAATGTTATTTTAAATAAAGAAAAAGTTTAATTGACAACAAAAGAATAATCATATAATCATATATTATTAATTTCATTAAGTAAAAGAAATTGTGAAGTTGTAAATACCTAGAAAGAAAAATGAATTTTTAATGTGAGCTCATAATAAAAATTTATATAAATAACATTAAAAGTCATAGTTTTAATAAAAATTATTATTTATTAATTTTTATTATATGTTATTGAATATATATTATAAAAATTAAATAAATAATTTAAAATATGTGCAACTATCCGATAAGAATCAAATTTGAGGTGCACCTGCTGCTGTGTTTATCATAAAAATGGCAAAATTTGGTCAGTTTAAATGATAAATCTATCAATTTTATTTTATAATTCAAGAGGAATATACATGCAACCTCAAAACTCAGATTAACAAAAGAAATGTAATAAAACCGAGATCGTGGCAGCATGCACCCAAAAACTTTTAGAACAAAAATGTTATTTTATAGATTGTTTATTTGATTTGAGAAAACTAAAAAGTCCTTTCAAAAATTATAAATTTTTATCTGAGACTTAGTTATACTGATAAAAGGTGATATATTTTAGGAATTTAACGATTGGAAGGAAATGACGTGAGAAAAAATTGTGTATTTAAATGAGGAAAGTGAAGAAGAATGAAGAAATAATATTTTTTAGCAAATTTTGTTAAAATAAATAAATAAATTACACATGATCAACTAATAAGAATATTTTAATTTAATATGTAATATCGAATTCAAGTACTAATAAATGTGGATGTGTTAAATATTTTTAAAAACTTTTTATTATTTGTAATGGTTTTATTTAATTAAAAATTATAAAAAATAAAAATAATTTCAAGAAAAATATTATAAATTTTTAAAATTAATTTTTATAAATAATTTTAATATAATTCAATCATTTCTTTCCATTCTCTTTTTATTCATCAAAATAAGTGAATTTTTTTTATCATTTCTTTTCTCCTCATTTCAACACATCCAATCATCACATATTTTTCACGTTTTTTTGTTTCTCTCTCATCCAAAGATCAAATTTAAGTATGGCAGGTAGTCGGATAGCATAGGTGCACAAACTATAGCATAAACTACACGCCTAACTAATGAGAGGATTTGGATAATGAGTTTATGAAAAAGAATTGGTTAAGTTTAGATACTGACAGTTTTAGATCTCAAAACTTATACCTGACTGTTTCAAAATATCTCTAATTATTTTTCTTCATCCAATTATCAATGTTAACCTAACTCCTTTGGTTTTGTCAAAGTTCGGTCAGGGCTTAAGGAAAAAGTATATATATATATATATAAGAAGACTCTTATAAGAAGTATACATGAAATTATCTTATTAATACTTCTATAAGAAAAAATGACAAGAGCAATGATAAGGATAGTAGAAAAGATAAAAACAAGAATTATAGACCCACCTCAAACCATAAGGAGAAAGAAAGTAAGCACCCTAAGTCTTAACACAAGCTAAGTCCAAGTGAGGGTAGTTTTAGGACATCCTCTATAAAGTGTTTTAAGTGCCTTGGTAGGGGCCATATTGCCTCACAATGCCCAACTAAGAAAACTGTGATATGTAGGGACAAAGATAAATATTCTAGTCAAGAAGAAGAAACCTCTTCTTCTTCATCATCTAGTGAGAGTGATAGGTCCTATAGTGAAGATGATGCTTGTGGTAGTGAAGGTCCTATATCCTATAGCAGTTCCATCCACCCCTTCACTAAGTCCGGTGTTGATCGTCTTGATTACCTGAAAAATGAATGTAAGGGTGAGTACTCTACACTACCCAAAATACACAGTCAGCATAGAGTTTCACCTCCAACACATTTCCAATACATTTATACAGATATAACACAAACAACATTATTCACCAGTATATTTCAATACATTAAACAAATACAATCACAAGCAGCATTATCATATCCATAAGCACAATTCATGAACCTGTTCCTACGCACGCCAGCCACACTCACATTGACACTGTGATCACAGATTTACACCATGAATGGTCGCTGGTTACTCCCGCCTCATGAATACCACGTGGGCAGTCACGGGTCACTCAGTAAAGGTAGTGGTCAGAGGTCTAGTCAGGAAGAGAGTGTGTGACTCGTGGTGCACCCGTTCCACAGTCGGTGTCACCACCACTCCTCTTCCCTAAGGTATTTCTACTGTCCTCATCTCTCACACCCCCAGTGTATCGCTGAACCATTCACAACACATTACATCGGCACTACACGCCCCATTCACATACACTTCATTCACACACACAATATTCATGCTTGCACAGGCACACAACCCATATTCAATTCACATTACATGGCACATAGCTCACATTTTATCCACAATATATGGCACATAGCCTTCATCCATTCACAATATCATTAATTCACCAATCAAAGGCATTCCGTCACACACAATCACCCACACGGGGCCTAACTATTCCAGCACACATCACATTGCACACCAATTTCCATCAAACACACGATTCCTACTCTCTATTTCAACCACATTGCATTATTCATTGAAATACACAAGAATTACAATACATTGAGATAGGGTAGAGTCCCCCTTACCTCGGATTGACGTCCCACACGCTAAATCCACCAAGAAGTGCTCCCCCTCATGGATTTCGTCCTAAACACATAGAGAAAGTCCATGAGAACCCAGGAAAACCACAAAAACAGAGAAAAAGGGTGAAAAACTGAAACTTTAACCATTAAAACTCACCTCCAAGCGTTCTCCACACGGATTCAACCTTCAATCAAGCTCACAAACGGCTTTGGAGGCAATTTAATTGGTGAAAAGGGCTTTGGACATGATAGGATCGAAGGGAGAGGGAGAAATAACTCCCCCCGAACCCTAACCCCCTTTAAATCCTTTTATGGTCGCGACACTCTCGCTACAGCAAGATATTCTCGCTGCAGCAAGGGGCATGATAGGATCGAAGGGAGAGGGAGAAATAACTCTCCCCGAACCCTAACCCTAACCCCTTTAAATCCTTTTTTGGTCGCGACACTCTCGCTACAACAAGATATTCTCGCTGCAGCAACATGCCCCCTCGCTACAGCGAAAAAACCAGAGAAAACTACACTCTGGTTTCTGCAGAATCTCACTACAGCGAGACTGCACCTAGAAATGCACCCAAAACTGTCGCTCTCTCGCTACAGCGAGACATCTCTCACTACAGCGAGAGTGACAGTTTCAGTCCTTCCTCCCAGGGCCTTCTCGCTACAGCGAGAATCCTATCGTTGTAGCAAGAACAGCCTAGTATCTCGCCCTGTACTTAGGCACTTAGCCCATTTTAGCCCAACCAGTCATGTATACACACACACACACACACACACACACACACACATATATATATATATATATACATATTCACGACATATATCTAAAAAAAAAAAATACACACATGAAATTACATTTAGATTTATATAATTATCAATAATTAATATTACAAAATTAGGGACGTTACAACTCTCCCCTCCTTTAAGGAATTTTGTCCCCAAAATTCAGCCAAACACACAACTATAAAAACAACCCTGGGTACAACTCTCTCATTCTACTCTCCGTTTCCCATGTGGCATCTCCCTCATCACTTGAGCTCCAAATCACCTTCACCAATGATATCTCTTTACCCCTTAGTTGTTTAACACAGTGGTCAGCAATCCTCACCGGGTACACATCATATGACAAGTCCTCTCTCACTTGAACCGGGTCAAGATCAATCACATGGGAAGGATCCGGCACATATTGCCTAAGCTGCGACACATGGAACACCGGATGTAGATTCGAGAGATTCAGAGGCAACACGATCTAATATGCAGTAGGGCCAATTCTACTCAGCACTTCAAACGATCCAATGAACTTAGGAGATACCTTCCGAGATTTCAAGGCTCTCCCAACTCCGGTCACAGGTGAGACCTTCAGAAACACATGGTCTCCCACTTGGAACTCCAACGGTTTCCTCCTCTTATCATAGTAGCTCTTTTTCCTGTCTTACGCAGCCTTCATTTTATCTCTGATCATTCTGATATGCTCATTCTGCCTTTGGATCATATCCGGTGCACACAGGGTCACCTCTCCAATTTTGTACTAACACAACGGAGTCTTGCACCTCCGCTCATACAAGGCCTCAAACGGTGTCATTCCAATACTAGCATGGTAATTGTTGTTGTATGTGAATTCCACTAGCAGTAAGCACTCTTCCCAGAAATGCACGCCCAAAACTGTCGCTCTCTCGCTACAGCGAGAAAGTGACAGTTTTAGTCCTTCCTCCCAGGGCCTTCTCGCTATAGTGAGAATCCTATCGTTGCAGCGAGAACAGCCCAGTATCTCGCCCTGTACTTAGGCACTTAGCCCATTTCAACCCAACCAGTCATGTACACACAGACACACACACACACACAGACACACACACATATATATATATATATATATACATATTAATGACATATATCTAAAAAAAAATACACACATGAAATTACATTTAGATTTATATAATTATCAATAATTAATATTACAAAATTAGGGGCGTTACAGAACTAGGATTAGAGACTACCCTATACCCTAAGCCATACAAACTTCAACGGCTAAATAAAAAGGGTGAGATGTTGGTAGATAAGCAAGCCAAAATAAGATTTTCCATAGTAATTATAAAGATGAAGTATTATGTGATATAGTTCTTATGGAGGCGGGCCATATTTTGTTAGGAAGGCCTTGGCAATTTGACAAGAATGACACCTAT